CCCCCCCGTGGGGTCCCCCCCCCGTGCAAAAATCCGCTTTTCCAGTATTTTTTTTTGCCCTTTTTCTCTTTTTTTTTTTTCCCCCCCGCCGCGGATCCCTTGTGGCGCCTCATGTTCTTCCTTGCATCCGTCGCCCGCAGGTGGACGCGAGGGACAATAAGGAGGCCGGAGCGCCGGGGCCGCACACGGAGGTACAGCCGATCCGGAGGGATTGCGGGGAGGAGGGGGGGGGACAGGCGCCGGAGGACAAAGCGGCGCTGGGAAGGCGGCTCCGGAGCCGGAACCGGAGCCGGAGCCGGCGGGGGGGACAGCGGGAATCGCGACCCCCGGGGCAGCGTGTCCCTTTCTTTGCATTGTGCCCGCGCGGGGGGGACGCGGCCCTCGCCGGGGCTCCATTCGCGCGCGTGCTTTTCACCAAAACTGGTGTTTTTTTAACATTTTCCATCTTCCCCCCCCCACTCCTGTTTCCTCCCCGCCCCCCATCTGCTTCCCCCAAATGTGCTGAGCTCAGGGCCCTAACAAGGGAGCCGCCGCCTGACGTCACCCTGACGTCACCGCGGCGGTGGCAGCTGTCACCCCGCGCCTGGGGGTTGTTTGGGGGGAGAGATGGGGGGGGTAAAAAAAAAAATTAAAAAAAAACACCCAAATTGCCCAATTCTGGCTCGGTGGCCGCTTGGTCTTGCCGGCACCGGGCAGGATGCGGCCCCCGGCAGCAGGTGCCGGTCGGAGGCCGGAGCGACTTGGCGCTGCCGGAGGCTGGAGCGGGCGCTGTGAGGGTGGAAAGTTCTTTTCCTGGTGTTTTGCCGGTGTTTTTGGCCGCGGCACGCGGCGTTCCCTTGCTTTTCCCACATGGGCTCCGCCGGGATTTGGGCTCGTTGGCAAAATACTCTCGCACGTGCGCGGGGCCGGCGCGGTGCCCGCGGCTGCTCCGGATGCCGCGCTCCGAGCCGCCGCTTTCCCCATGGTTTCCTCCCTTGGCCGGGCCCGAAGGTTGCGTCTCCCCGCGCCGGCTCTGAGCGCGAATCCCCTTCCCGGCCTTTGGCACCCGCTTATCCGTCGCGCGCTCCGGAGCCGCTATCGCAAGGGATGACCGGGAGTGGCGGGTGGAGGAGAGACATGCAAGGAAAAGCAAAATTCTCCCTGTTTCCATCTCTCACACCTGGTTCTTCTTGGATTTGCATTGATGTTTGGGAGGGGAGGAGGGTGTCCGTCCTCGTGGAGCGCCGGCGTGCGGGACAGACCCGTCTGCTCCGTCCCCGTGTCCCTGTTGCGCCGTGGTCCCCGTCGCACCAGAATCCCTGTTGCATGACGGTCCCTGTTGCACCGCGGTGCCCGTCCCCATTGCCCCGCGCTCCCCATTGCGCTGATGTCCTTGTCCCCATTGCTGCCCGTCTCCATTGCGCCACGGTCCCCATTGCACCGTGGTCCCTCTCCCCGTTGCAGCTGGGGTCCCTGTGGCACCTCAGTCCCCAAAGCACCGGGGTGCACATTGCACCACTGTTCTTGTCCCCATTGCACAGAGGTCCCTATAGCACCAGGGTCCCTATTGCACCAGGGTCCCCTTTGCAGTGGAATCCCCATTGCACCAGGGTCCCCATCCTAATTGCACCGGAGTCCCTATTGCACCAGGGTCCCCGTTGCACCAGGGTCCCTATTGCACCAGGGTCCCCATCCCGATTGCACCAGGGACCCTATTGCACCAGGGTCCCCGTTGCACCAGGGTCCCTATTGCACCAGGGTCCTCATGGCACCAGAGTCCCCGTCCCTATTGCACCAGGGTCCCCACTGCACCAGGGTCCTTGTCCCCATAGCACCACCACCCTCCATTGCAGCAGGGTCCCCCCTGCGCAGGGCTCTGCGTGGCAGAAACTTGGGCGCGGGGCCGCGCGCGGAGGCGGCAGCAGCGCCGGCTCCAGCTAAAATGGCAGGAAAAAAAAAGAAAATCCGCCTCTAAATCCTTCCGCGCGGCAGGGAGCGCGGGCAGCGCCTGCACATGCGGCGCGCTCCGTTTGCAAACACGGCGCGGCCCCGCTCCGCGCCGGGGTGCGCCGGCAACGCCGCGGTTCGCCCCGCTGCAAAAACGGGGAGAAATGCAAAAAAAAAACCTGCTGAAATTACCTGGTCGGGTGGATTTTATTCTGCTGGGAAAGGGCGAGTGAGCAGCGAGGGAGCGTGGAGAAAATTGGGGTGTTTGGGGTGTAAAGTGCAGATTTAAAAGCTCCCCTTGTCCCATGGGCTGGTTGTGGGAGGGGAAGGCTGGGGGAAAGGTGGGGAAGCAATGGAAAATGTGAAAATGGGTGGGTTTGGAGCCGCGTGCGATTTCTGCCTCAAAGCAGTGCAAAATCCTGCAAAATCGAGTGATTTCAGAGCCAGGTGCAATTTTTGCCCCAGTAAGCAATGCCAGAATTGGTGATTTAGGAGCCGGGTGCAATTTCTGCTGAGGAAATGGTGCAAAATTGTACGAGTCTGGGTGATCTTAGAGCTGGCCGCAACTTTGCCCTCGGGGAGCAAAATCACCAAAACCAGGTGATTTTGGAGTCGTGCGTGATTTTTGCCTCAGGAAGGGGTGCAAAACCGGGTGGTTTTGGAGTTTTGAGTGCTTTCTGCCGGGGAGCAGTGCAAAACCTTGCAAATCTGGGTGCTTGTGGATCTGTGCATGATTTCTGCCGGGGAAGCCGTGCGAACCCGTGCAAAACGGGGCGATTTTGGAGCAAATCCGGGCGTTTGTGGATCCGTGCATGATTTCTGCCAGGGAAGCCTTGCAAAACGGGGCGATTTTGGAGCCGTTGACGATTCCTGCAGCAGGTGCTCAGAGCCACTTTTGCGGTGCTGGTAGCCCCGGGATCCATCCCAGGATGTCCCAGAGCGGCTTTTCCCGGTGCCGTTTGCCGGAGCAGCATTGCCGGCTCTGAGGTCCGGCAAAAAGCTCGGCAAACCTCCCGGCACAGGCCTCCGAAGCGGGAAAACCCAAAGGAGACGGCGGGCGGCGCGGGGACGCGCGGAGGCGGCCGAGCCCCCGCGCTCGTGTGGCCGCGGTGACTCAGCAGCTCCGGTGCTGACTCAGCGCCGGCACCGGCACGTGGCCGGCTTGGGAACGTGGGGCGGGGGGATCCTCGGCGTCCCCTTCGCTTCCCGCTCCCGTGGGAGCCTCCGACAGCCTCGCCACGCTCGGGATGAAGCCGCTGCCGGCGGCTCCCTGCTTTTCCCCGCCGGCCTCACCCGGGGGCCGGGCTGAGAGGAAAAGAGGAATTAACGGAGGAAAAGAAAAATTTTCCTGCGGAAAGAGGAATTAACGGAGGCGAAGGGAGGAAGCGGCCGCTCGGGATGCGGTGACGGGGGGCACGGGAGCAGGATGCGCCCCCGTGCCCGGCTCTCGGCGGATGCGACGCGGCGCCCGTCACGTCCGCTCGCCGGCGCGGCCGGAGGAAGCCCCGGGAATCCCCCCGTGGCAGCGGGCGGGATGCGGCCGGCGGCGGCTTGGCATGGGAGCGGAGGAGGAGGAGGAGGCGGGAGGAAGAGCTGAGCGGTGCGAGGGCAGCCCTGGGCGCGACGCCGCGGGGCCGGGCGGCAGCCGAGGAACCGGCTTCTCCGGGTGCTTCCCCGCTGGCGGCCGGGGCAGGGCCCGGCTGCCGCCCGCGCCGCCGCCGCCGACTTGCCGGCACTTGCCGGCAGGAGGAGGAGGAGGAGGAGGAAGAGCCGGCTGCGCGTTCCCCGCTGCTCCGTGCCGGAGTCGGCCGCCGGAGCTGGACGGAGCAGCCTGCAGCGTTCGCAGGTAGAGTCCTCCAATGATCCCGGCGCTTTTGCCGGAGAAACGGGCAGTCTGGGGCCTTGGCTTTCCCGGCTGCAGGGGCGCAGCTGGGCATGGGGCTCTGCTGGAATTTGCCCACGATTCCCACTCCTGCGAATGGGAATTCCCCGCAATCCGCGTGTGCCAGGAATACAGCCCCACCAGCACTTGGGAATGGGGTGGGAATGGGAATGGGGCAGCCCTGGCGTGTGGGAACGGGGTGATGCTGGCATGTGGGAACTGGGCAAAAATGGGAATGGGGCAATGGCAGTGCACAGGGATGGGGCAAAAATGGGAAAGAGGTGGTGCCCTAATGCAGGAATGGAGGAAAAAAGGGGGATGAGAAAAAAAAAGGGGAATGTTCCCAAGTGACACATGGGAACAGGCAATGCTGGCACGCGGGAATGTGGCAGCACTAGTGCAGTGGAGTAGGGGAAAACCGGGAATGGGGCAGTGCCGCCTCACGGGAATGGGGCTGCACCGGTGCGTGGGAACAAGGCGAAACTGGGATCGGAGTGAAACTGGGAATGGAATGATGTGGGTGCGTGGGAATGGGGCGAAGCTGGGAGCCGGGAGCAGGACGAGGCCGGCTCGCGGGAACGGGGCATCCCTCTCCGGCAGCGTCTGCTTCCCGGCACGCTTGTGCGCAGCCCCGTTCCATCCCGAACGGAGCGACCCGCTGGGCTCGGAGCGCAGACCCGGCCGATTCCTCCCTGCTATTTGCAATGCAAAATCCCTCCTGGTGCCGAAGGGCAGGGTGGGAATCGCCCCGGTGAGCGCCGGGCTGCTCCCGAAACCGGCTCTGCCGGAGCGCCCCGCGGAGCCGGCTCGGCCCTGGCGCCGCCCGGGAGCTGCCGGCCGCGCGAGGGAAAAGCCGCTCCAAGAAACGAAAACAGAGCCGGCTTCGGAAGGGTGGTTTTTCCTCCTCGCTGTTTTTTCCCCCTTCTTTTCGTGCTTTTCCCTGCCTCGTTCCCTGTGCCAAGCCCGGAGCGGGACGCTCGCCCGGGGTAGTGTTTCCTCCTGCCCTCGCCAGCTGGGATGCACGCCGGGAATGTGCGCCGTGGGAACGGGCCGCGGGAAAAGCTTCAGCGCTGGGCAGAATAACCTCAGTCTGGCTTTTCCACCTTTCCCTTCTTGCCTTTTCCCTGAAAAGAAAATCAGGGGCTTTTTATGGGTCGCTTTTCCCATTGCTTTGCTTCCCTGGAGCGCAACGGGCAGGACCCGGCTCCTCTGGCTTTTTCCTCCCCCGGGAAAACAAGACCCTGGCCCCGCTCCAGGCACGTCCAAAGGCTCTGATGCCGGCACAGGGTGGAAAAAAATAGCAGGGAAAAGCAGCAGCAAATGGATGTTTTCAGCGGGGCCCGGTGCGGGAGGGAGCCGGCGGCACCGCTCCCATGCCGGCGTCGGAGCCGGCGGTCGGAGCGTCGCAGCCAGGCTGGGCTCTGGCCGCTTGCGTGCGGGGATCTGCGTTTTCCAGCTCTGCTTTGGACCAGGACGGATTAACAACAGATGCTGTCCTGGTGGGGGCTTCCTGGCGCTTTCAGGGGGAAAAAGTGGGATTTCGGGGGTAAAACCAGGGGTTGCAGACCCTTTTTCGGGGATAGCGGCAGCCTTGTGGCTTGTCTTTGCCAGCGCATGGAGATGCTTGACCAGGAAAACCATTTTCCTGGTAGGTTTTCCCCCCATGGAACCCCTGATTGGAAGGGGAGGCTTCCCAGGGGAGAAATCCCAGTTTTCTCCAGAGTCCGGGCTGGATACACGGAAAAAAAGGAGATTAAACAGAGATCCTGGGAGGGATCCTAGCTGGTGCGCTGAGCGCTGCCAACATTATCCCGTCTTTCCCCGGGGCCAGACGAGGACAGGAGCTGAGCGGCGCCGGGGTCAGCCAGGGGCACGGAAGCAGCTCGGAAAAACAGCCGGAGTAGGAAAGCTCCAGGAGCGTCCGAACCTTTCCGGCTCCTCTCGGCGCTCTGTGGCGAAGCCGGGGCTGGCGAAGACGTTGCGGACTCGCAGCGCATTTTTCCGCCGTGCTTTTTGGGCGCATCCCGGAAAAAAAAACGTGCCGGCCGTCGGAGGGTGCCAGGGCAGGAAAACCGCGAGCTCGGCGCCTGGGCTGGCCGGGATCCACGGCCGCGCTCCCGGGGCGCCCGGCCAAGGAGGCTCCCGGGCTGGCGGCTGCGAGCGCCGCGCAGGATCCCCCGCGCCCGGCCCAGCGAGCGGGACGCGATGGGATTCGCAGGGAATCCAGGAGCGGGATTGCACAAAACTGAGGACGGGCTTTGCAAAAAATCAAGGGTGGGGGTTGCAAAAGATCGAGGGTGGGGGTTGCAAGGAAATTGAGGGTGGAATTGGGGGAGAATTGAGGAAGAGGCTGCACTAAATTGGGGATGGGCTTTGCAAGGAAGTGAGGATGGGGATTGCACAGAAGGGAGGATGGTGTTTGCAGAAAATTGAGGACAGATTTTGCAAAACATCAAGGCTGGGGCTTGCAGAAAATGGGGAATGGGGTTTGCAGGGAATTGAGGATGGGGATGGCACAAAGTTGGGGGCAGGATTTGCCCAGAGTAATGGACAGTATTTGCAGAATTGCAGAGAGTTTACCCAAAAATGAGTGGGTTTTGCACAAAGTAGTGGACGTTGTTTGCACAAACTCGAGGAGCGAGTTTGGGCAGAATCAAGGATGGGGTTTGCCGAAAATCCAGGATGGAACTGGGGCAAAATTGAGGAGGGAAAAATTGAGGATAGGGTTTGCACTAAATTGAGAGCAGAGTTTGCCCCGAATAGCAGAGAGCGCTCGCAGAAAATAGTGCACGGTTTGCCCCAAGTTGAGTGACTTTGGCACAAAACAGCGGTCATCGTTCACACAAAGTTGAGGTTGGAATTTGGGCGAAATCGAGGAGGGGATTTGCAGAGCATCGAGTCTCCTCGTGCACTGAGCTGTGCCCTTGCCCAGGGCCCTCCGGGACCCAGCAGGCTGCCGGATGCCTCCCCAGCGGCTCCGGCATGGATAATCCGGCAGGAGCGACGGCCTCTCCGCGGCCCGGGGGACCGGGAAGCGTTTCCCTGCTCCGAGCCGCGGGTGGTTTTCCCGGCAGCCGAAACGTGCGGGTTGGAAGGGGCGGCCGGGGCGGCTCCGCATTTGCGGCGGGGTGCAAGGGTTGCTGGCTCGCCTCGGCCCCTGCCATCCCAATTCCCGGTGAATCCCTCGGGACTGGGGAAAACAGGTTAAAAAGGGGGAAAAAACCCACCCGTGCAGCAGCTTTGCAGCGACATGATCCTGACCGTGGCTGTTCCAGTGGGAATCCTACCGAATTGCTGAGATTTCAGCCAGGAACAGGTTGCTTTGGTGCGCGAGGCCGCGCTGCCGCAGGGCGCCGTGGGCAGACGTCGCCGCGGCGCCGCATCCCGTGGCGCGCGCTCCGGCGGCGCCCCGCACATGCCAATGCCATGACCCCCCCAAACCCGCAGCGCTCCCGGCTTCTCCGTCGCCGCCGGGACCTGCGGGAAGCGGCGCCGCCGGCGCGCGCGGGGTCAGGCGAGGACGCGCCGGAGCTGCCGCCTTTCGGCGCCCGCCGGCCTCGGGCAACGAGTCCACGCGGGG